GGGGCTGTTGGTGTTTTATTGTTTTTTTGTTGCTTTTTTCATATGCCCGTTGAATACCTCAGACTCCCAACTGTAAGGCCGTAGGTTCGAATCCCGTCAGGGGCCCGACGTCGTATCCTTGGGAAAGGCACTTTACACGAGTGTTCCTCACTTCACCCAGGCGGATATGGGTACCTATCTATAGACAGTGAAAGATATATCAGTTTGTTAGCGTTTGAGCGCTTAATCTTCTGCTTCCCGGGAAGCTGAGAATGTTACGGAGTGTTCCATAGTCTGCTGGGGGAAATAATGCAATGTAAAACGCATATTAGCTTGCTGGTGTGCTGGGATATTCGCTGTACAAAAGCTGCTTATTATTATTCTCTTTCTCTCTCTCTCTCTCTCTCTCTCTCTCTCTCTCTCTCTCTCTCTCTCTCTTCACACAACTCCCGAGCATCAAAAACTTAAAATTACCGCAATTTCAAAACCAAGCAGCAGTGAGAATCGTGTCTGAAATGTTTAAGAACGACTTTACCACCCCTGTTATAATTATAAGGAAAATTCATTGGGTCCATATAACAACTATAATTACTCACAAGACTGCCTTCCTTTGACATGCGCTGATAATTTTAAAAAAGGAACCTTTGCTTTTAAGCAACCTCATTCAAAAGTATTTTCCATCGTCTCTAGACCAAGAGACCGATTTCTTACGAGAGCTGCCATAAAGACAGATATGCCTGTTGAGTATAGTACAGATAATAATAATAATAATATGATTCTTTATACCGTATTTAATTACTACTACTTTCAGGCTCATTTTCATTTGTAAAAACAGTTTTAGAGGTTATAATAGCAGAAAGTTCTAAAATAAATGAAGATATATTTATGTAAAGGCGTAGCTTTTTTCAACAGAATGCATTTTTATTATACCAAACACTATTTGAATGAAAATGGCCTTATCTTTTTATTAAATACCTTTCATGTCCTCTTTATCTTTGCTCTTTTAGATCCCAGTTCTGTCCGAATTAGCTCCTTCTACCTCTGAAGGGTTTTTTGTTTCTTTGTTTTTGTTTTGTTTTTATCTCGTCCCATTCCCGCTCACTGCTTCCAAAACCATCCACAGAAAATCTAATAGTCTCTCATTGTGTCCGGTGGCCCATCCATGGGTTTGCCGGGCTGACCGGAGGCTGTATAGAGGACATTGTATTTCCCATCATTCCTCTTTTCGTGCCCTGTAGATGGTCAATGTGTGAGCCTAACTGTTGATGATGGAAGAAAGAAGGGGTCAGGGAGTGCAGGAAGGGGTGTACATGGGTTGGACGGGGGTATGGAAGTGGGAGGGGGAGGAGGAAGGGATGAAGAAGTGGATGGGTGAAAAAGGATGATGGGAGGGATAGATGAAATGTGTGTTTGGGGGAGGGGAGGGTTGGGGGCAAGAAGTGTCTGATAATGGAGGAGGGAAGTTGGAGGGTTAGATTAGTTAGAGGGGCGAGAGGGGCGAGAGGAGGAGGGATAGAGAAATGAGGCTCGAGATATATAAAGGGGGAGGGGGAGATAGGGAG